CGCAGTAGACGTTAGATGAGCGCTGTCGCTATGCGGCACTTGTTATTCAATGCTAGTATTCTAGTATCGATTTGAATTGTAGTCTATTGACCTTCCCTCACCTGGCGAGCCAGTTACCTATGTCTTGGATATTATTGCATCATTGCTAGCTCTGGCAGAACTCAACCACACACGTGTAGCTCATGGTATATGTAGCATATATAGCATATATGTAGCATATATGTAGCATATATGTAGCATATATGTAGCATATATGTAGCATATGTAGCATATATGTAGCATATATGTAGCATACATGTAGCATATATACGCGGTTTCATGCGTGCGAACACAAAAATGGTTGTCTTCGAGACTCTTCGTCACTGAACAGTACTTTTAGTACATTGTGTCGTACGGCCGATCGGTCCTCGCCGCCGCGTGTTATCACCATCGCCAACACTGTCTGATTATGTGCGGATGATGTTGTTGCAGCTCATTGCGACGTGAAGGTGTGGGTGCTCGATCGCACGCTGTTCCAGGCCATCATGATGAAGACTGGACTGCAGAGACAGGAGGAGAACATGAGGTTCCTGCGCAGGTAAACAACACAAACAAACAAGCAAACAAACATACAAACAAACAGTCATACAAACAAACAAATAAACACACACACGCTCAAAGAAAACAAACCTAAACATACATACAAACAGCGATACAAACATACAAATAAACATATACACATACACAAAACAAAAAGCAAGCAAGCAAACAAACAAACAAACAAATAAACAGTCATACACACCAACATACAAACTAAAAAAAACAACCAACCAACCAACATACATACAAACAAACAAACGAAAAAAAGGGAAAGAAAAAAATAGCAATCACATGAGAGCGAATGCGGGAATAAGAGGGAAAAATATGAAAAGCTTCCCCGGCGTGGGAAGGATGCAGAGAGTGTAGATGCAACGTGGGAACCACACAAGGCCTCTCTGTCTGTTTGTGTGCGTGCGTGTGCGTGTGTGCGTGCGTGTTGTTGTCAGATACCCTCGCGCTGCTAACTCTCATTCAATCTCAGACTGGTCCGTGCCGCCCGCGGCCGCTGGCCTACATTTCATTAATCCCTCGTGCAAAGGCAAGTGAGCTTGATTAAGCATCCTGCGCCTGCGGGTGCTGGCAGCAAGTGTTAAGATCTGCTCGCGTGTTCCTGCATCGTTGTCAACATCATCATCGTCAAGCAGCCGCAGCTCAAGCCAGAGTACAGCATCAGCAGTAAGCAGCAGCATCAACACAGGCCAGTAGTAGCAACAGCAGTAGTAGTCAGTAGTAGCAGGCAGCAGCAGTAGCCAGGCAGTCGTCAGCAGGCAGCAGTGTAGCACAAGCAGTAGTAGTGAGCAGCAGCAGAAGCAGAGTATAATAAACAGTAGCAGCATCAGGCCCATCGCGCAGTAGTAGACAGCAGCAGTAGTAGCAGCAGCAGCAGCAGTAGAAGCAGCAGAGCCAGGAGCAGCAGTAGTAACAGTAGCAGCATCAGCAGCAGCGGCATACAGCAGTAGTAACAGTTAGCACATCACGGCAGCAAGGCATCAGCAGTAGTAACAGTAGTAGCAGGGCAGCAGCAGTAGCACAGGCAGCAGTAGTTAGCAGTGGCAGAGCAAATATCAGCAGCAGCAGTAGCAGCAGTAGCAGTAGCAGCAGCAGCAGCAGCAGCAGCATCAGCAGTAGTAACAGTAGCAGCAGCATCAGCAGTAGCAGCAGTAGCAGCAGCAGCAGCAGTAGCACTGGACTGTTACGGACTGAATTGGCTGTGAAGTAGCGAGTTTTAATGTCGTGACAGATGGGGAAGACAAAGAACTCTTGGCTAGCACAAGCAAAACGTGTAGATAAATATACAGATAACTATTCATGCAATATTCTCGAGAAATCCTCGACTTCCATCTGTTATTCAACGAATTTAGCAGACTATGCCTCGAAAAATTGTCAGCTTTTCTCTCCATCCGTCATTCAACGAATTGAACAGACTATGGCCATATGTAAACCAATCAAAAATCAATCACTATTCGCCGTTATAATTTGTAGATTTCAGACAATGCTCTGTCGTTCTAAAGCATTCAGCAGTAAACGCGCCCATGTTATCTTAATCTATCGATTCTATAAGAAGTTCTAATTCATTCAGAAGTGAACTATTCCAACGTAATACATCACGGACAAAAACGTCACGTTCTAAAACCGTTCAAAACGGAACTATCCTGAGGTGAAATTCGCGTATCGTACGTTATCCCCAAACCTCGATTTATCCATGTGGAAACCAATTCGACACCACGAGCAAAAAAAACTCGTCCAGAGTAAATTTATGTGATATTAATGTCGGCTGACTTTCACACGAACATAAAGGGATCCATTACCAGCGCACGTCATGTGGCGAAATTCTACGGAAATGCGTCAGTAGAGAAGCTATTGTTAGTACAAAGCTGCAATGTACACGTACGTTCGCTGCACACACACACACGCACGCACGCACGCACGCACGCAGGCACGCATACACGCACACGCACACACACACACACACACGCACGCACGCACACACGCACGCACGCACGTACGCACGCACGCAGGCACGCACGCACGCACTAACGCAGGCACGCACGCACGCACACACACGCACACACACACACACACACGTACACACACACACACACACACGTACACATGGTTGTTAGTTGCATTACCAGTCTAGGCCTATGTGTCGTGTTACTGCTATTGTGTGAAACATGTCATTTAGCTACACAAAGCCGGCAACTTGAACAAAACTGCTGCTGCTGCAGACGATGATGATAATGATGCTGATGATCATGATCATGATACTGCTGCTGCTGTTGATGATGATGATGATGATGATGACAATGATGGTACTGCTGCTGTTGATGATGATGATGATGATGATGATTATGACAATGATGGTACTGCTGCTGCTGCTGATGATGATGATGGTACTGCTACTGCTGTTGATGATGATGATGCTACTGCTTCTGCTGTCACTGCTGATGATGATTCGTTGATGCTGTTGATGATGACGATGATGATGATGACAATGATGGTACTGCTGCTGCTGCTGCTGATGATGATGGTACTGCTACTGCTGCTGATGATGATGATGCTACTGCAGCTGCTGTCACTGCAGCTGATGATTCGATGATGCTGTTGTTGCTGAGAATGCTGATGATGACAACGATGATGATAATGATGATGACAGTGGTGGGTGTAACGTTTTTATCGCATGGAGTGATTAATTGGAATCATGCATCATGATCGCTGAAATGTTTGTGCATCATTTTCTCGGTCATCTCTATCTGCAGCGTGCCTCTATTGAAGAATGTTCCGGGAGAGAAGCTGTCGAAAATAGCAGACGTCCTTGAAGTGGTGAGCATCAGCTGCATGTTTGGTCTTTTTCTCTCTCTCTCTCTCTCTCTCTCTCTCTCTCTCTCTCTCTCTCTCTCTCTCTCTCGCGCGCTCTCTCTCGCGCTCTCGCTCTCTCTCTCTCTCTCTTTT